GACCGATTGTCAATTTTACCAGATTTAATTGATTCCCTTATCAAATTTTTTATTTGGCACCTCTTTTTAAAATTTTTTCACATTTTATAGGTAATAAATCCTTTAGCTCACCTTCATTTATTATTTGTATTTCCTCCTACAAACCAATAAAAATTTTCGAAATCCTGATACTTTAGTTCTCAACCCTCCTGGACCTCAATCTACTTTAAGTCCTTGCCACTGAAACGATGACCTTTTTTCACGCCATACCATAAGGTCATCCAGCAGTCTGCTTTATCGCCCTCGTACCTAATTGCTGGAGCTTTTCGACGCAGCAGCCCCATTTTATTTTCAACGTCAGCACCTCTTTCTACAATAGTACAGCAGTCTCCTTTTCGTGCAAGATTCCATTGCTACGTAAAAATTTGTCTCCATATTTTTATCGGAAGCAAATGCTCTCAGGCGGTAAAAAAATCCGACTAGTTTTTTTATTCAGTCAATTCGCTGATATGTTGGAGTCGTATGCGCTTTTGTGTTGCCTACGATTTTTCAGCCTTTTGAACGCCTTTTCCTTTTGCTGCCAGAAAATTGCCAGCTGAATTTGACAGGTGAGATTTGGAGCTTGTCTGCTTTACCCATTAAGTTTATCCTGGTTCCAGATGCGTGGAAGCTTCAGCGTCCACAATAAATAATCAACTTTTTAGTTTTACTATTAAATCATTTATGGGTAGTGATTCGCCTTAAGGGCTAGCCATCCATCTTTAAAAACAATTGCCGATCTGGCAATTATGGCACGTTAGATGAATGGACTGATGGATTGATGGATACCATGTGCGTGTGGGATGGATAGCTGTATAGATAAGTGAAAACGGGCTGCATACGGGATGGATAAAGGGTGGATAGATGGGTGGAGGCTGATGACGAAATAGACAGATGTGCTGAGATAACTAGGAGTGGGTTAAGTCTGTAGTTAAGTGAGCGACACGCAAACAAACATGCTAAGTGGTAGGTTTTGACGGACCTCTCGCTTATTTACGTGAAACGCATGAGTTGCTTTGCCGGCAACGGCTCAAAATCCTGCTAGTCTACTGTTATGAGATTCACCTGGGCTGGGCTGCATGCCATCGTGACCTACAATACTGGCAATAAAGGGATGAACTAACAATGGTCACTAACTCAACAGACTATACAAAAAGCGTATGACCATCTGCTCTGCTGGTTATGTGATGAGGTCGAGCTACCTGATTGGCTTAAGCGCACTACTCATCAAGAAAAGTCATATAAATCTCGTGACTCAACACTTGGCCAGTATTGCGACCCATGGTAGACCTGGACACGACCGTGGTAGAAGTGCGTCCACTACCTTTACCTTTGCTTTGGACCAGTCCCATGCCAAACCACGTCTCCTCAAACTTTGTCTTTTGCATCTCTTTTAGGGGACATTTATTAACCCCTGAAAGGTTAAAGGTTGCAAATCCAATCTAAAGAATTCTGTGGATGTCAAAAAGGGGACAAATGACTGAAAATCTTCATGTTTCGCAGTGTATACACGATTCATCTTCTCCCCTTTTTGCGGACTTGTAAAATTCACCTGTCCAAAAATACACCAGGACTGCTGACACGAAAATCCCTCAACCACTAAACAGTCAGGTCGCATCAACTAATAAGGTTTCAATGACTCATCAGCAGAACATCACACAGAAACTAGGTGAATGAAATGCGTCTTGCCTAAACATAAAACGGTTTATTTATGACCGTTAAAATACCTGCTTGTCTAAATGCACCTTTACAGGTGCCAATCAGGCAGCTTGGATGATCGTCAAGACTGAGAAAGTGTCATTCTTCCCAAAGGGAGGGTGAGGGGACAGCCTCTGGTTTTCTCATAAAACTCGGGTTATTTCTGAAGTTCCACATTACGTAATACAAGATATTCCCCCATAGGCATCCACCTCAATACAAAGGCTTGATTCTGGTGAATTGTCTTTACTAGGAGGCTCGAAAAAGGTGGAGAAAAGGGTGATTTTTTTCTAAGAATTAATTAAAAGCGGCAATAAGGGCAAACTTTAGTTCGGTAAAATAAAAGTGCAGGAATGTTCTGCAACTTCAGTTTGTACTTTGCTCTACAAACGTCAGTGGAGCAGTGACAAATGGTCATGTCAGAATGTGCCACCATGTGATTACTGACAGTGGCATCCTAGCTGCCCTCGTGCTTGTCCATCACCGTGAGAAAAAAAGCGCCTTCTTCCATATCCTGCTGACGTTCGTGTGTGTTTATGTGCAGTCGGGACACGGCAACATATCTTAAAGTTCAGTATAGCTAATTTTTGAAAATTATCACCAGGAAAGGTCATTTTTTTATCAGAAGAGTGAAAACTATCGACAAATCTCTCAAGGAAACAGCTGCTGCCTCTGGAGTGCAATACAAACGAACGCAATAAGTTCTGCCGAAGAGATTCTTTGACTGGGATCTCAAGTAGCCGCATTTAACTGCGAACACGATGTTAATAGCTGTTACCAAAATGACAAGGTTTTACAAAAAAAATTGATTGAAAGCACAAAAGTAGCTTCGTTTGCTAACTCATTTTGAGGTTAGGCCATCAAAACCCCTTGACCTTGGCTCTCCCCTCCCAGCGCAGATGCGAAGAGACGGAGAGAAATAAGAGGGAGTGAAAGACAAGGAGTTACCATAGCAACGAGTGAAGGTGTGTAAATGATGCAGTTATTTCGGAATTGTTATAATTCACCAAAGCGGATTTAATGAGGCTATAGCGAATTTGTTGGAAGGGTCTGCCCCAGGATACAGCTACCTGCGGTAACTGAGGCGGTGTGAAATGCCCGATCAGCCATAAACCGCTCTGATGACATAAACGTGTACTTTGGTAAAGAGGACTTCCACTAAAACGTTTAGAACTTGAAGTGGTAGTTAGGATAGTGTTTTAACATTCTAGGGATGATCCTTTCTGATTACCCCAAGAGACCTTGCTAATTAAGCGGAGCACTTAAATGTCAACATAAGCCGAAGTGGGAGGGAAATGGCTTACAATTACCATTTATGCGTTAATTAGTGCCAAATTTCAAAAGCGGTGAGAATCCACAATTTGCTTATTAACCAATGTCTATGAGGGTTAAACTGATCTGTTGAATAAGCCAGTCACAGGAAGTAAACCCAAGATGCAATATTATTGGCAGCTTTGGGCAGGTGGGTGATTAGGGGATCCGATGAGGGGTCACGCCTCAAATTAGAGGACAGTCCTTTCGAAAGGAATCAAGTGTGGGCCGATTTCATATAAGTTGCCATGTCGACATTCATTCATCCATCCCCGTGCAAAGATGAACCCAACGCAGTGGAACAAGAAGTTTTGCGAATGTAAACTAAGCCATCTTTGAATACCGGCTGTACTTATATGTGTACTTTTATATCCACATTTCAGTTCGTTTTTACTTGATTCACCCTCAGCCAAATGGTAAATCTAACATTCCTCCCGAGATGTGGGACAACTTTGCGCAGAAAAGGGAGTAGCGAATTGGTGCAAAAACAACCAACCGCTCTGTGAGAGCAAATGTTTAAAACGTAACATTGCAACACCTCCTCCTCACCACGTGTGAATCTTTGACTTTACTTTTGTTTTACTGTGTTCAATGTGTGCGAATAATCTCGAGGGTGTTTATATTTCGCGGGCAAATTCTACCTCACATGTCTGTTTATTTATTCTTCTCCATTTCTGTTTTTTGCCTTTTTAGCATTTAACTTGGAAAATAAAAGGAGTATTGTACAATTTGGACAGCCCTCTTTGACTGTGGAAAAAAGATATCAAAATTCCTGTAGATTCATGAGTAGCATACACGTCGTCATTTACCTCCAAATTTAAGGAGGCTACGACCCATACCAGAGACACATACTACGAAAACGCAAAATCCATCCAACTGAAGGAATAGTTAAAATGAATATTGCTGCATTACACGGTTTTCCTCCCACTTTCTTACCACAAGGCAGTGCTACTAACAATGGATTAGCGACCGAATACGTCCAAATGAATTAAAAAACAGAGTTCAATTTTACCACTCAACGACAAAATCACTTTTAAAATTATAGGGGCAACCCCGCTTTTAAATTTTAAATTCGTCTAGTAATAATGTTTTTTAAAAGAATGCTTGAATTCTTTTATTCTACTTGTGTCATATTAAGTAGACATAATTTCTCGCCAAGTTTTACAGCTTGAGTTACAGGGTTTTCATAATTTTGGCTACTTTTAATTCATCATTTTGTAACCTTGGCATTGTTTTCTTTACCTCATTCAATACATTCTACTTATGTAAATTTTAGTAGGTATTTTTTTCTTAGTGAAAGCCCAATAAAAAATATATTCTAGAGCATTATTTACAAATCGATTCTGAAAAGGCACTCTCAAGATATTGCTATACAATTCCTACATTTCTATAAGTAATTAAGGGCTAAATCATGCAAGACAATTTTCTAATGGACATGGTAAACTGCGTTGTGCTTTCACTAAAAGTGAAGCACCTACGCAACGATGTACATTTTTGACTGGCCAAGGTATGAAATCTTTCCAGACGGAATATTAAATGAATTGTTTTATAATCTATGAGGACCTAGTCCTTTTTTACGTATATTCTTAACTGCGTGGGCCCTTTAGCATTCCTAACGACTCGTACTTTTGTCGCGACAATATAACGGAATGGTTTATTACGATTATGGGTAAGACAGGGCGAGCCACACTGTTAGGTTTGCTAAACGACCTTAATTCAGTCCATGCTGACAGAAATCCTGATTTCCTCGATGGTTAATCACCAGAGTTTGACATCACACGGCAGATGAGGGGTTTGATGACTCCCCAATTTTGAGCTCTACGAAGCAACTACTGAAAGGTAAGGAAAGCGGGTTTAAACAAAGTAGATTTGACTTGTTATGCATCTTCTTCGTGAGAGGACCCTCCACTATATTTCAGAATGAGATGTGTTACCTCGTCTTCTATTCTCCCTGATAAAGATTTTTTCTGCTGTAGGTCTTCAACTTATGCGAAATAAGCAAGAAGGAGGAAAGTTGCAAGATTTAGGTAATTCTTTCTCTGGAGATAAAACACTTGGGAGACATGTGTCACGTCTTGAGATCATAGCACATCGCAAAACTACGTAAAAACGACAATTTTCTAAAAAGGTTTTTCCACTTTGAAAGGAAGTTGAAATCGTTGATTGTTTCTGATGTGACCTTCTGTCCCTTCTCAATGTAAATGTTAAGCAGATTACATTCAAAATGCATCAAGGCAAAATAATCACTCTATTCCTAGCAGACAAAAGCATGAGCAAGAAAGAGGGGCATCAGGGAGGGCGGAAGGAGACGAAAAAGAAGAAATAAATCAAAGTATCTGTCTGTGCAAGGCACTGGCAGTAAAACAAAGCAGCTTTCCACGAAGATGTGGAGAATCAACGTCAATTTGTGGTTTATATAGGTCAGGGGATAGGGTGGTGGGGAGGCATTTATTTCGAACTCAACCCACCTCTCTTACCCTCCACTCACCCGAAAAAACAAATATCGAAGCGGACACTTCTTCAACTAGTCATCATTGTCTCTAATTCACTCTTGGGCTTCATCCTCTCATCACCTTCTTCTTTAACTTTATCGAAATTTTGAATCGGAAAGGAAGCTAGCAAAGCGTCTTCTGTTTTTCTATGCATCGAATAAAGACAGGACGAGAAGAAAGAGGTCGAGGACGTGGCGTATTCATGAGTCGATAATATACCCACGGTGGGGGATGGGGAGGGCGAGAAGAGGAGGAGGACTACGCAAAGAAGGCACTCTGCCGATTGAAAGAAGAAGCCTCGAAACATGTCCTAAAACTCCGTTACTCCACTCTCCTCATCCTGTTGTGGTGACCTTCTATTCACCACTCTGGGTCGTGGACGTGATGGTAGGGTCGCTATACGACCCTGGTGTGGCAGTGGTGGTGGCGGTTGTTGTTGATTAGACCGGCCCATTGGACCGAACAGAGACGGACGTGATTGATTGACTGAGGCCTGAGTGGGCGTGATTCTGGTTGGCTGAAGCACCGTCCAATCAGAGCGCTGAGAAGCCCGTGGAGAGGCCATTTGTTGATAGACTTGACGTGGTGCCTCTACCGGTTGCCGATCACGCATGGTGGGATAAATCGTTATAGATTTCTGGGGAAATTGAGGCGTAGATACGGTGCGGCGATGCACTGATGTAAGAGGCACGTAAAGCTGTGCTGGTGGTTGTTGCTGTTGCAGTGGTGAGGGGTAGCTGTAACTCATAGCAATGGTTTGCGGATAGACACGACTTGGGCTCTGAACAACGCGATACATCTGAAACATATTTACCAGTACTTAAGCCTCAATCGGATATAAAGCGAAGTACATCTGAGAGGATAACTCGCCTGTGTAGCACTGCTGGCTGGACGAGTTCCATAAGCTGGGTAAGCTGGGTAAGCAGGTGAGGTTTGTGTCCATTGTGCTGGAGTTTGTGAGAAGGCAGGCGATGAAGCCGATCTATCACTATCACGTAAAATTGAAATAAACAGCCTAATGAGGTAGACTTGTCAAAATTATTTGGATTTTAGGGAGGGAGGGAGAGAAGGTTTACAACCATCACCACTTGTAACTGTAAAAATTGCGAAGAGAACAACCCACCTATTGTAGACTCTAACGCGTAAGGGCTGTGCCGACGTGGGTGACTGATTAGATGGCCAAATTTCACGAACCATTGACGATGTCTCGCCTTCCCTCGGCATTGTTCTCGCCGAGAGGCTCATTCCTCGTACAATTCTTGATGGCGATGCATACGTAACCGGTTGTGGTGATTGCGGATGGATTGGCTGATCACCAGCTTGAATTACAGTTGGTGGAGACCGATAGATTGGACGCGATTGACGAGATGGTAAATACACTGGTTGCACATACGGCTGAAAAGGCGGAAAATGGAGGGAAAGATTAATTCAAATTTTATCTAACTTAGAGAATAGAGCTTGCCTACTTCCACTAGCGAAGATCTCTGGGCCGATTGAAGTTCAACAGCGCGCGAGGAGATGACGCTTTGTGGACGAAAGTCGAAGCTTGAATTGCGACGCGGTGATACCTGATTCTGACCACCACAGGATTGACGCATTAGCGGTGTTTTACGAAAAGTAACGTCTTGAGTTGGTACAGAAGCAACTGAAGCTGGCTTTCCGTCATATCGAGGAACACTTCGACTCATTGGACCACGAGGTACTGAAATTGTCCAAAATGTTTGCATAAGAATGTTAAGTGAGGCGTCTAGGTCAACCCGGAACTAGTAATTTCGACCCTGCAAGTCGGCACAAGGGTTCTATGTATAAAATCGTACGCCTAACAGTTTTGAGGTGTATCCGTAGAGTACCGAGTACTGGAGTGTAGTACTGGAAAATTTCGCTATAAACGGCCTCGGTTGTTTGTTCTTGTCCTACAGAAAAGTGGTCAATCATGTGGCTACTTAATTCAAAGCAGAGCAGAGCGTGCAACATCTGCCTAATTGACGCATAGTAATGATGTGATGCAGCAAAGTAAAGCAGCCTCATATAAAATAAACCAGTTGCACTGGCATATCTTCCTAACTCGAAGTGACCTTTTGGTTGTTTTCTCCTACCAAGTTCTCTGCAAATAATTTGCAAAATATTCATTTGGATTAAGAGGTCAGTATATTGCCTACTCATTTAACTAAGTAAATGATTAATTGCCTCCTTTTACTTATCTTGCTACCTTTCTGAGACACACGCACAATCTCCAATCCCCATTGGTTGTGTTTTCGTTTAGGGCAGCCAATTAGAATGCTCTAGTCTAGCATGCCGGCTAAAGGTTTGTAAACAGCCAATACGAGCTGGACGTGTGAACCAACGAGATCTGACTATTTTTCGCTTGATGATTAAGCATGTCCAATAATGTCACTCGGGTTAGTTCCGACTCGGACACACCTAGCTATACCTCGCCACACATCTGAGTTCAACTAATCATATTGACCACTTTTTCTGGTGACGGCTTTGACATCTCTCTCTAGCACAGCCAGATCTCAGAAGGCTGCAGTTCTAAAAATTAAGCGCGAATTTTTCGTTCAGTGAATGTCGCTGCTAAGAACAGCAAGTGAGGCGCTGAATACTCGAAATGAAACTGAGGGGAATAGCGGTTTTAAATGAATTATAGTTTGTCGTAATTAGGTTAATAATCATTTTTTGGCCATGTATAGTCTTAAAATGATGGTTTGTTTAAAATTCAACATAACCCTTAGAATAAATGACCGAATTGAAGAACCTACGAGTTCCATACTGAGAGATAACCATAGGTTCATCAGTCTGAAACATCTTTCGTCGTTCTCGAACTGACAGGCGAGAGAAACTATAGTCCACTTCGTCGTCGTCAGCGTTCATCGCCTGTGGTGTGTTCATCCGACGGTATTGTGCCTGATTTTCTGAAATGCTCTACAAGTAAAGGCAATTACCGGTTAAAATTATTTCTACTTAGTAAATAAACAGTAGCGGTTGTTTTTGCATGCCATAAGTCCAAAGTGACCACGTCGACGGCAGGTAAGCGCTCCAGTAAAAGCAGCTCAGATCACTTGTTTTCAAAAAATTCTGCCATTTAAGCCTTTAATAAATACAAATCAAGCAAGACTGGTTTGCGAATCATACTTGCTGAGAGCGGAGCTTAATCGAAAATAATTTTACGGAGTATTCTGTCGTTACAGTGAAGTCTTGCAGTGTATTTACAAAAAAAGGCTCTAAAATAGGATGCAAAGGTTGGTCGCAGCCAAATTTATCTTGTTTTTAATAGGCATGTCAAAGAGAGCAGGTTAGGATTCATGAAGATTTGCCTTATTAAAGCTATTAACTGTGGTATTCCTAATGTGGCTTTTTTAAAAAGTTTTTACATAGGCTTTGAAAGACATCTTTACTCAATTCCCCCAATTTTCCAATTGGGATACAGATTTGGTGTATACATATTTTTTATGCGTTCGAAATGCTAAGCTCGAGAAATGCGAATTCCCACGGACTCTTCAGCAAGATTAGCATTTGTCGCACTTGCTACCTTGTCTCCTTTAACTTGTTCACCATTTGCGGCTACCTGAAATCAAGCAAAGTTAGTCAGAATGCTAAAGTTTTATTGAAGTGCAAGCAGTTTCTAAAATAAACTTTTCGCTTAATGTAAGAAAGTAAAAAACTGACTCCCGAAGCATTTCAAACATTGGCACAGTTGTCCAAATCTTTTTCGGTTAGTAGCCAGGCAATTTTAGAAAAAAAATTTATGCAGGGTCAGTGTCATTACAGGTATTAGGATTAGTCTTGTATGTTTAAATTACTTGATAATATAGTGGAAAACCCCTTCCGTAGAGCCGCTTGTTATTGGAAATTTTTCGATTTAAGGTCTGAAAATAAAGTAAGACTGAACAGTAGCTACGCAAACTCGAGCAACGTGCATTTGGCACTGGGTTAGTAACTATGCCTTCGGAGTTCCTTTGACGTTTGGGATTTTTGCATAACGGACTACTGTTTGCACTGATGGGGTCTATGATTATTTTGCAATTGTTCATTGATTAAGAAATGTACACAACAAAACAAATTTGAGTTAACTCTAAAAGCTTACTTTCGAAGGTGAATATGCTGCACAACATACACGAATTGCAGCTTATGGTTAGTTTTTAGTGGTTTAACGTACAAGATAGCCTAATGGGGCGCTACAGTCGAAAGGTTTTTGTCCAAAATGTCTTGGCTGTTCAGACACCTGAAAAATTGGTCATAGCCATCTGATCAGAAAACCCTTTCCGCAACAAAAAATTTTCTTTTAAAAAAATCCGCAAACAACCTGAATTCAAGGCGAGAAGGAAAATCATTTGCTACCAGCATTGTTTTAAAGTGGAATCATCAGCAATTAGCATTACCAATGGAAAAATCTCAGGAAATTCACAGATTCCTAAACGTTTTTTAACTCAACGCCTTTTAAATATATTATTTTTTGAGTAGACAGATTTTTGAAGCTATAGCTTAGCCCTTAAACCAAAATATATACCTAAAATAAATGGGGAGTTTTATTCATTTATGCAAATTATATTAGCTTATATAGCAATAGTTGCAACCAAAGTGGTTGCTTTAATGCACACATTTAAGATATATTATCTTGTTATGAAATCACTTTAAGTTGCCGTCCTTGTCACGAATGTCCTCGAAAATGATTAAATTAACACCCTACACATAGTGGAAGATGTGACATTTTAGTCTAAAAACCATCCTTACTAGTATCTTACTAGAATGGTCTTGTAGTAAACAAGGATTTATGTGGCATTCTTTTTAGAACAGCGTGGCATGCTTAGTTGCAGTTGGTATCGGGGAGCACGACCAGAGTATTTTAATTCTAACAAATTTAAAGGTCATTGTACATGTTGTTAAAGCGGTTGTTTAAAACAGAACCAGCAACTAGGCACCGTTATGCTGAACAAAGTATAACTATAACATTTAGTAAATTTCGTTAAACATTAAAATTATGCTCAAATGCGAATTATAAGGAAACAAATGGCGGACACCAAAATACGTCGATTTCAAACATATCAATTTTTAAATGTAATTTCTACAGTGCCATATAATTATTTAATTTATCCTGCAATACTTTTTCTTAAGCTCTTTTGATTTTCAGTTATAATTATCAGAGGATCATTCCCAAAGTTCTCTAGATAAATCAGATTACTTGTAATAGGGCTCGTTTGAAATAAATAAACTTTCGTGAATGACATTTTAAAGGACAAAAACCGAGAATTTCTATGCAGGAATCCGTCATGACCATCCGAGAAATGACCATTTCAGGTTAAGTGGGTAAGGTCAACGGCGATTTGAGGTCGCCTGCGCTAGCCAATAAACAGTGAACACGGCTGTGCGTCAGCGTAACTTTTACACGTTTCGAACGTTAAGTCTGGTTAAGGTCAAATCGAGCATCGGGAGGCTTTTGCACTAATTACAATTACTAGCTCTAATAAAATGTCTTCGAGGCCGCAGTAATTTCCGGAAAATACTTTTTGAATGGAAATGTACCAAAACACACTGTATGAAGTTTTTTCAAATGAGAAATGGATAGGTGGAATCAACTCACTGATTGGTAGTAGGAGTTGTACATCCTGTGGTGAGGCGGAGGAAATAAAATTCTGTAGATCAAGTGTAAAAAGGAATTATTTACATTTATAATGAGCTTTAAACTGTTAGGGGCAGCTGGAAACAACTTTTTAATAGGCAAAGTTTTGCTCTATTTGGTGGGCTGCAAAGTTATTCTTTTCATTTCTTTTGTTATATAGACTTTGGATTAACTTTTTTCCTACAACTTTATCAAAAAAATGCAGTGAATTAAGTTGAAAGGTCACCATGCTTTGGCATAAGGTGTTTTAATTTCCTCTTTTTTACTTTGTGGTGTTATGCAAAAAAAGCAGAGGAACAACGGAGCATAAGACACTTCTGGAGTATCCCAACTTCTCTTTTTTACCAAATATGCAGTAAACCAGGGTTTATTTCCTCCCCTTTTACCAATTGCAGCAAAAATGCACTCGAATCTTCACATGTTTTAGGAAAACTCCCGGGAGTACTTTAAACACCCCTTAAAAATAATGAAAAATCTTCTTTATAGAGTCTACTCACAAGTTAATCTTTGCTAGCAAAAAAGGTTCTTGTAGTGATATTTGCAAATGGATTGATTTTAAGGGTAGTTGACTTGTCGAGAAATTGATACGGCTTTAAGCAAAGCTCGTTGCTATATAATTTGTGGCTTGTAAAGCTTTAAAAGTTCACGCATTGTAAGCCCTATGGATCAAGTTTAAGTCGTCTCCAATTCTGTATTTGCTACAGGCAGTACGTTTTATGCCACTTGGAGATCCTGTGGGACACACAGCCCAGATATGGCTGAAACAGTGTAAATCATTTTGAACAAGATGTATGACTCTCCCTAAAGCCTTCTAGAAGTACGTAGAAAGAGAAAACAACAAACCATTGACAAATTGTTCAAGATGTCTTCACCTTAACGCACAAAAGGGTGGTGCGACCTCGAAAAACAACGGCAAGAAGTGGTTTGCATTCCCACTCCAAAAGATCCCTTTTATTTTACACTTCTAAGGTTGATACCCGTGGACGTCGTAGTTTACCTACTGACTGCTGAGAGCCGGCTACACAATAAGATCTATCCCAGAAATTGAAAAAGGTGCTACAGTCCCTTTTTTCCCGGTCTTCTTCCTTCTTAGGACTAGTAATTTGGACGGAAAAAGCGTCCGAAGATCTCACACTTCTTACAACGCAACTGTGAAAGAATATTTTTTCCATCTGACAACTTCATGATCATATGCCAAATAGAACCCAGCGGTTGGAAAGAGGAAGTGAGACAGAATGTGGGTGGCATAGAGGCCAGTTTATTTTTTATGGACCATAAAATTCACTGCCACCTTGCCTCTACTAATTACCCAACACTACTGGTGTTGTTCGCCATAACATGGGCAGCAAAAACACACGTCTTGGTCTTTTTCCCCAAAAGGCAGACGGATTAATGGTGCCTCCCCTCTAGGTCGTTGTGTAGCAGAACAAACTGCCAGAAGTAGCACTGGAATTGCCATTTTGTGATTGGCTGCTGCAACTGTACAATATACCAGAGGAGAGGCTACTGTAAATGCATTCCACAGGTTGAAATTCCTTATTCGGTTAATTTTTTACTGCCGCCAGGTGGAAGAACTCCCCTCCCTATTGGCCAAAAACTGTCCAATAAAAAGACGAGGAGCGAAATATTTTTCAGTGGTCGTGTTACTGCAAGGTTATCAATTACTACAGAGGTTGGCTTTTAACTTGTTACAATTTCTGCCGTGCTATGAACGATGTATCATTTTAAAAAACCTCCCATATGGGGTTACGTTTATGCAGAAACATCTGGAAAACCCATGTCCCGAAAAGAAGAATAAAAAGTAGTTTTACGGTTGTTTAGGTATGGCTTGCTGAACGATTAATTGCGCACAGGACACTTTGCGGGTCATAGCAAGTAAATGACTCAGGCACCGCAACTTCTTTTTAGGGTCGTTTGATAAGCGATCAGGTGACAACGGTTGTCAGGACGATGGCAACTCTTCCAGCCACTGATACAGTAATAAGAGATGATAGCGTGACATTGGCGGTGGAGCGTATGACAGGGAAGAACAGCATTGAGACACATCATTGTTTGGAAAGGAAAAATCGCTCTAGGAAAGCATTTCTTTCTTAAAAAAAGTTTTTTAAAGAGAAAAAAGCAGACCTCAGCAGTTTTGCTGATTAATCTCGTACAGGAAACATTGGAGGATGACCGACACATCGTCCTCCAGACGACCAATCAGCTGACAGTTGAGCGAACGCCAAAAAAATAGTAAAACCGATATTTTCTTGAGAAAAAGAAGAAGTCATCAAAAGTTAGTCACTTTTAGTAGTCACGCTGGCTCAACATAGTGGCACTCAGGTAATACAGCAGAAGCGGGCCTGGCACCCACTGGGTGAGGTCAAATAGCACAGGCGCCGAAGAGAAGCCCTGCAGGCTTAAGGTCCAATATTTGGGAGAAAAAAACCCATCTCTCCCCACCGCAGTTTAAAAGACGCGATTCATTATAAGGG